AAGGCTAAATTTATTTGAGTAAAAAAAAAGCATTTATTAGGTCTTTCTATGAAAAACAACCTACTTGCCTGGAGTCTGGCTCTAAGTATCAGAGGCATTAAGTAGAAGTTATGTTTAAAAGCAAATGAACAACTTGTGACAGTGCTAGAGAATTGAACCAGCAAGAGAGAGTAACTTTAGAAGCAACTGCTGGCAAAGTGGTTTTAGATGGGTTTGTTTTAAACCCAAAATTTCACAGCCACCTGTTGATTCTGATACAAAGAAACCTAATGAGGCTGAAAGAAACTACCACTGAACACAAGAGAACAAGAGCTAAACCAATACTCGCGTCTGTCTGTTCAGCGCTTGAATCCATGAAGTCAAAGCTGACTTCACATGAGCATTTTCCTGTTTAGCTGGAGACTTGCATGATTTTTCTTATTCCTCCCCTGAGCACCATGCAGCTTTTTCTCATTTTTTTAGTTTGTAAAGGAGAGAGCAGCGCTGAACTGTATAAAAGACACTACCACACCCTCAGCGCCGCTTCGCACAGGACATAAATGAAGCTCTAAACAAAAGCTTCAGTGGGCCACGTCCCTCCTGCTGCTGCTTGTCCTCGCATTGATGAGCAAGAGGGAGTTAGTGCATGCAAGGTGGGACTAAGTGGAGAAAAAGATTGATATAAAAAAACCCCTGGGGTTGAAGGACACTTGCCTTGTGTGTTTCAGCCACTGTCACAAAATGAAGTTCATTCGTCAGGGAAATTGAAGAACTTAACTACACCTTTTTAAGAATTTTCTTTTTAATTGCAGAAATGTAGGAGTTGAATCTTGTCCTCACCCTTATGCATTTGGTGGCAGGAATAAGGGAAGAGGACTGAAAGAGCCTTCACTTCTCTGCATGCAGCATCTTCTGCAGACACCTTCAAACTTGCATTTATGCAGCCCATATGAATGAGGAAATCTGCAGTAACAGCGGTACGGTCAGCAGCATGTTCTTGTCTGAAACTTATTCCCGTTCTGATTATTCTTCCCAGTAATTGTGGGTATCTCTTACCACTTACCACCATGTTTTTTTCTCTGCTGTCTCTCTTACTAGCTCATATTCCTGTTGTCACCTTTTAACTGACCACAAAACAACCACCACGGAAAAGAATAGCCCCCCCCTTGCTTTCCCCCCACCAATCATTTTTACTGCACCAGTTACAGTATATCTGTTGGTGTTTCCATCCCAGTTGTGAGACTTTGGTATGTTTATTTTCAAAGTGTTAGCTCACCTAAATTCTGCTGCAAGTTAAATAGGAAAACTTCTTCAAGCTGTCTCCTTTACTAACATATGTATATAATCCTGACTCTGTCTTCTCTCAGCTCTCCTTTTTTTGTTTTCACACGTAACACTTGCCAGAGCTCCTCCATACATTGTGAGGCTTGTGGGGCAGGGAACCTGATTGTTGACATCTCTGAAGAAAAGTCATGGCAAAGTGCCATATCACATGGTATGCTGTACATATTAAATGCTATTAAAAATTTGTCAATTCTTCTCAGCTCTTTCACTTCTTTCTCATTTGCTTGTCAGCTGTGAATTAGTTAACTGGTTTAACTGAATTATCATAGTATTCCATGTTTTGCATACAAACTTTATAAAATAATTTGCGTTTATGAACTTCTTCGAGACCCTAAGGTAAAAGGTTACAATGACTTCCAAGTTATTATCATCAAATTATTGTTCACTACACTTTGTGGAAATACTCTGAGGTTTTAACAGATTGGTTGAAAGCAAAAGAGACTTAATTACTTATTACCGTCTTTCTTTTCTGCTCTGAGATAGCAATAGGCTGGAATAAATTCATAACTGGTCCCCACAGCTAACAGATTGGCTTGTGGCTTTCCAGCAGGTACTGTCCACATTTGTATATCCAATTTAGTCACTAAAACCCCCTACCTTGATTGAGAAGGTTGAGAAACTTGGAAAGCAAACTTCACAAAGTCATCCTGGAGCGGTCTGTTATTGCTAACAAATAATCCAGTGTGACCGAGTGCATTGGCTAGCACCCTCTTTCTGCATCTCCCTGTATACCCTCCGAGTGATACCAAACCAGTACAAATTTTACTTCCCCCCAAACCAATTTATTTGCACGTTTTGCAACAACCGTATGCCATACAAAAGATGGCCAAACCCCCTGACCATACAAACTGCACTCCCAAAATCTTCCCTACAGCCAGGAAGCCCCATTCCACGGATGCTGAGAGCAGGGGGAAGCTCTTTGCAGAGTGGGACCCCCTACCCGGGTGGGTCCCCCGGCCGCTGGCGCTCAGCCTGCCCTGGTGCAGCCAGCTGGTTACGCAGCGCAGCCTGGGGACAGGCCGCTGGCCACCGCAGCCCTGTAGCCACATCTAGCTTATGGCACCACTGGCTTTCGTGCTGAGCTTTCCAAGCAAAACCCACCTGCTTTTTTCAGTCTACATTTGCATAACTTTTTTTCTTTATGAAGAAGGCTGTAATGTGACAAGAGAAACTCACCACCCAGAAAATACATTTTTTCTTGTCCTGCACCCCATTATTACCGGATCTGCTATCTCTGTTTACAAGATTTTTTTCCATGCTACAGCTTATCTAGTACCACGTGGCAGAATGGTTGTTGTACTGCATCTACTATATGCATATGTACTACAGATGCCTACCGGGGGACTGACTTCTTTTTTGGTTCTCTCCATACCAAGGTTATTAACACTGAAAGATTTCGTGGCCTACAGTTTAACCTAACTGTTGTGAACATAAGGAGGGCTGGGAGTTTCAGAGCTATAGGAAGTGAGATAAACATGCTGGGCATTCCCCTTCCCCTGATGACCACCCCACTGTTGCCGGTATCCCTCACACCCCTCAGTGCCCTGCTCCTCTCCGCAATTGCCAGGCCCTGGGTGGGAAGGCGTTTGGGGACATTTTGCTCATGAGGCAAAAATTCCCATGCTACCACTTGGGCTTCATCTTTGATTGCAGAGCTTGTCTTCCTTAAACTTCCATTTATTCTGCATACTTATTTCGATACTTATTTCAATTATTCAATGTCTGTGTCATATGTGATTCCAGGGAAAGCCTGGCGTATCTCAGTTTCACCCATTTATGCATTATGATTTTGCCCATAGGGGTGCCTACAGAGATTTTGGTCACAGTTTTTTTTACTGTGAATGGCATCCAACACAAAATACTTGCTACAGATGCAGAGAGAAGTTGATTTCTTTCCCAGTGAGACACCAAAACCTGCAGATGAAGTCACATAGGGCATGCAACAAGTAGGGAGGCGATGCAGAAGTCCAGCATACTATCCATAGGGCCATTACAATATTTCTTCACTTCTGCATTGCTCTTCTCTTTCACCTCTCTTAGTTGTACTTTGTCAGTTGTTAATGGCTGGTTTAAGTGTGCTATAAGTTAATACCTTCCCCGTGGAGTACTGTTGCAGAGTAAAAACATGCTGATTACTGGACTGATGTGGAACAAAAGAGCCTCGAGTCCAAAGCTTTGTCTCCAGTGGATAAGAATGTGAAATATTACACAGAAAGTATAAAATCCCTGTGTACCTAGTTGCACAATGTTGAGGGAAGGGCAAAACATTACTCTTGAACTCAGTCTAGTGTTAGCTTATTGGCTTGAGTGTGAGGAGCGGGCGCAGTTTTACCTGTTTGATCTCATGGTTGTGTAATCATAAGCATTAGAGCTAACTGATATCGATGGCTGATTTAAAAATACATTATTCTTTCAGGGTTTCAGATAGAACTGTAAGATTAGAGAGGGATTTCTACCCAGATACTTTTTTCAGTTATTAAAGATGTTTGGTGCATGTTATCAGTTACTCTTCTAATGCGGTCAATGAGTGACCTTTTGTTTAAGTCAGTCCCTGATTTGTTCACGTGTCATGCTGCTCCTGAAAAATGTTACTGCTGAAAATGACTGGTTCTTTTTCTTGTTTTTATTTAAAGAATTAACAAGTTTCTTCTGTTTGGGGAATACCCAGGCATGTATTTACCTATAGGTGTGTTTGGGAAATACGAAACAATATTTGATGCAGAATACTTCCTAAAGTTGGATTTTTTTTCACATACACCTTTGAAATGAATGTGGTGTCTGCCACTCAGAGCAGCACCCATTTCACTAATGCAGACAAGTGTAGGTTAGCATAGAAGTAAACGTTTGATAATCCAGTTGATTTGTAATACCATTAAATTAATGTAAACAAAAATATTCTCCTAGAAAATATTTTCCTTGAACACCTGCCAAGGTTTATTGAATGCATCTGTCTTGACAAAGCACTTCAACCGAGATCAAATAAAACCGTACCTTGCAGTGAACAGCTGCAGCGATTTTAAAATTAAGTTAAACAAGAGTGAAAAAAGCGGGGATGAAGAGTAAGACCATGGGAAAAAGTAATTAGCCCGGCACCGCACAATCCGCAGGGGCACAGGACATAGAAAAGCGTGGCCGGTTACGGCGCTGGCTCGCCGAGGGTTTGACTGGCCGGCCAGGCCACACCTTCGCCGTGATCACCCGCGCGGGTGCAATTCTTATCCCCGTGCAGCCACCGGCTTCTTTTCCCCCCTGGAAAGCAGCCGGGCCCGCACCCACGGGCCCGCACCCACGGGCCCGCACCCCCTCGCCTCCCTGCAGGGCTCGGCCAACCGGCGCCCGGGCGCTGCAACGCCGGACCGGCCCGTGGCGGGGCGGGGGGGGAAGGCACGGCGGCCTCGGGCAGCCCGCATCACCCCACGCAGTTCTGGTGACGGGGGTGCGTGTGAATATCACGGGTGGGGGAGCGGGTAAGGGAGGCCGCCCCCCCCCCCCCCCCCCCGCCGCCCCGCCCCGCCCCGCCCGGCCCCTCCTCGCTGATTGGCCGGCGGCGCCCCGGACAGGTGGCGGCGCGCGGCGGGGGCGCGGCGGGAGCTGCCGCCGCCGGCACCGCAGCGGCTCCCGGGGGCGCGTCTGGCGGGGGCGGGGGCGGCAGGAGGAGGAGGAGGAGGAGGAGGAGGAGGAGGAGGCAGCGACAACGACAGCGGTCAACGACAACGGTGACTGCTGCGAGCTCTCGCCTCGGGCCGGCCGGCTGCGGTTGCGGGAGCGCCCGGCGGCTCCGCGCAGGTGGCGTGGCCGGGGGCCGCCGCCTCCCTTGCATGAGCGACGGGGCGCAGCGGCCGCCGGTGGCTCCGCTCCTGCCCCGGGCGCGGGGAAGTTACTGCTCGCCTGCCGTTCTGCTTCCAGCCCTCGCTTCTGGCCGAGGGTGAGTACGCCGTCCCCCGCCGGGGCCGGGGGGGGCTGGGGCGGAGGGTCACCCGCCGCGGGGCCCGCGGGCGCCGGGAGGGGCCCTGCGGCAGGGCCGCGGTTGCGGGGCCGACCGCCGCAGCGCCCCGCCGGGGGGTCGGCCGGTGCTCGGCCCCCGGTGGGGGGGTCCCGTCCCGGGTCCCCACACCCCCCCCCACCCCCGAACCCCGCTCGGGAGGGGGCGGGCGGGGCCGGGTCCCGCCGCCGTTGGTGGCGGAGGGGCCGCCGCCCCCCCGCCGCGTTCCGGGCCCCTCCGCGGTGGTTTCGGGGCGGGGGGCGGCGGCGACACGTTATTAGGCTCCTTTTAATTACCGAGTATGCCCGAGTAGCTTTGTAGCGTTCCGCTGACAGCGCGGTTATCCGACCGCCGTCACTGCAGTGCATCATCATCGTTATCGTTCTTAATTATTATTATTCTTGGAGTGTCACCCTTCAACTTCCCCGCGAGCACGGGGAGGGTTTCGGCGTGGCGCTGCCTCTGCCCCCCTCTCCCTGGCAGCATCCCGCCAGTCCGTACTTGTAATTTATGCTTCAGACAGAAGCAGCGTGCGTTTTCCTAGTATCAAGGTCAGTTTATCGTAACTGCTGAGGAAAATACCGTATGGCTCGGGCTGACTTTTCTCAGGGAATCTAATTAAGTAGGAACGTGTGTGGTGCTGGGGTTTGTGTTACGTTTCAGGCGAAAGTAACCAGATTAGCCCGCAAAATGCCTTAGAGTGCCTGAGCGTCCCTCGTCAAGCATGTTTGCAGGGATATTAACTGTATCTAGCAATCTGTTTTGACAAATGGTGGGTTTTGCCATAGACCTACCATTGTACTATTTCATGCGTTTCTGAAAAAATGTGAGTAGTTGTCTTTGCTGTGCAGCCTGGAGTTTGTGAGGCAGAGCAAGGATTTTGACAATAAAGGCTTCTTACTTGTGCCTCTGACAACCCTTTTCTGGAAGGCTAGAGAGAGAAAGGAGGGAAAGTTAGTTTAGTTCTTGCATTACCGGACATTTTTCTGACTTTAAGGGACCTGTCAGCAAGCTGGTCGGGTTTTTATAGTTGCTAATTAATGGTGGAAGCGGTTCCCTGTGAGCTGCACTGAGACCACCAACTCTGTCCCTGCAGTTAACAGTAGGGTTTGCTGCTTACTGCTAGCCTGAGAAAGTGAACAGGGTTGTGTAAAGAGCAGAAGGTGCTGTATCTTGTACATAACCCTCAGGCTGCTGCCTTACCCATCGTTACTCAGGTATCAGAGCATTTTTACTGATGCATTATGCCCAGGTGTCCAAAAATGTACTAGGTGGTTCTGTAGCCTTCCTGTGGAATTTGTCAGGTAACTTACACAATGCTTATAGCAATTGTGAACAGGTGAGTCTCGTTTTCAGCAGGTGTGATTAATTAATTACCAGTGAGAACTCCCAGAAGTCAGTTCTGCCCCAGTAGCCCCCACTGAGATGAGAGATACTTGCAGAGCACTGCCTCCTGTCACTGGTCTTGCATCTTGCACCTGCTGCTGATCCAAGTGACACAATATTGTCCTTTCAGACAGGTTAATGCTTTTTAACAGATTGTCTTCATGTGAACCAGTGCTAGCTAGGAGTGATACCAGATCAAGAAAGCTAAGCTAAAACTTTTGTTTATTTTCCTGAGTTGGTTTTTTGCTTCCACCCTAACCTGATGAATACAGCTGAGCATGCTACAATTGATTGCTAAACCAGACTTTTGGATTATATAGGGTGTACCCAAGTGTATGAACATAGTAGGAATTCACCCTTCTCACTTAATAATTGCAGTAAACAGAGCACTTGAAGAACTTGTACTTAAACAAATAATAAAAAAAAAAAAAATTCCCTAAACTATGCATGGGTGATGCTGAAGAAAAGCTGTATATACCGAATGCACTATTGTTCATAAGCAGTACATCTGTATGAAAATGTGACTCCTTTGTATTGCTGCCAATGTTATTATGCCCTATTGTTATCAAACTGGAAACTGCTGTTTGGTGGTGTAAAGCTTAACTTGCCCTTGGAAAGTTGGACAAGTTGAAAGAAACTAGCTGAATACAGTTTCATGAAAACTGTAGGGACAATTTTTATCTTTGAGAAAACCCATTCATTTATTGGAGCAGACTAATCCAGCCTTACTGCTGAATGCTTTATTCACCTTCCTTATGGATCCAGTTAGGTTATTTGCTAGGTAGATTCTTAAAGATAATAAAGGCTTCTGGCTTACCTGTGAACCACTGACAACTGGAAAATAAACCAGCTCTAAGTTTCTTATATTCAGAGATTTATAGCAGCTTACTTTTGAAAGAAGCTTATTGGACTTAAGGGAAGAGGAAGATAACAGCTGTATTTCAGTGTGGAGCAAAGCACACCATGCTGTTGCTCAAATTACTACAGAAACTTGGCCTTTATCTACAGCATAAACCGGGAATTTTGTAGAAGGGCTAAATACAGTGTAATTTGATGAGATTTCAAGCCATGGTCTAGTTTTCTGTATCTCTTTGTGAGATTGGGTAAAGATGCCTATCTCCAAACTTTATGTGAATTTACAGGACCCCAAGAGGAAGACCCCTTTATATGTGGCTGGCACACTAGTAAGATCAGTGGTTCATATGGGAAAGACTAGTGCGTATAATCTGCTTGCTATTTAACTTTCAGTTGAAATGTGTTACCCTCTCTTTTTTTAACAATCTTACAGAAACTGCCACGCTGCATTTTGTAAAACTGCATTTTCAGAAAATAAACATCATGTTTGACATTTTATGTCCTGGAAATAAATAATTAAAGCACACTGTAGTGGAAATCAGTTTAATGAATCAGCTAACAGCTTTAGCATAGACGAACAGGGTATAAGAACTGCAGTGGCCTGACTGGTCAAAAGCTAATATCAGCATTATTGAAATAATGACAGATTTTTAGATCTTATATATACTATTCTGGGAATAGGAACACATTAAATTTGCAGACCAACATGCATTAAATGTCAACAGCAGAGCTTTTTTTTTTTTTTTTTTTAAGAACGTTACACTAACAAAAACCTTTGTCTGGCAAATTTTTACTGATCCATTAGGCCCTGAGTGGGGTAAACGAAACAAGACCTCTTGTTACTTTCTATTACCTGTATGCTTCATTTACCGATTGATCAACTGATAATCATAAAAGAAAAACTAATATTGGTGTTTGGTATTCAGGTTATTGTAGTTATTACTATCTACTGGTTGTTTTAAGATATAAAGCATTACCATAGGAAATTAATTTTGCATTCTTCAGGGAAAAGTACCCCTCCAAATAAAATTTCACCTATTGAAGTGGAGGAGATGACTACTGGGGAGGTTAATCTTGAAGATGAGACACTTTCAATAGCATTGTCTCAAGTTGACTCATGGTAATCAATTAAATAGTTTTCCTGAGATTTACTGGTGCTGACAGGCAGGTGAGAAGGGAACTCTATCCTGTCCTACAGCTGAAGACCCAAGCTCAAGTTATGCTGTGCAGCAGTTCAAAAAATCTCTTTCTGGTCTCTTCCTTGCAACATATGTTGCTTATTGATGGAGAAGCATAAATGGATAAGTGACTTAATGCAGCCATAGTTTCTGGATCAAGTTCATTTAAAGGGTGCTGAGGTAATTTACTGTAGAAAATGAGATGTAGTCTCTTCTTGTGATAGCAATATGAAGTGTAAAGCCTTATTCAAAAGCTGTTGAAGTCCATGCCATTCCCACTGGCCTTAATGAGTCTTGAATCCGGGCAACAGTCTGAAATCTCTGGCGTTTTTTAATAACAAAACAATCCCTCCCCCAGCACCCTCCACCCGCCTCCATACAGAATAATATGTGGCTCTGCTGTTGTAAATCAACTTCTGTTCTTGGTGGAAGACAGTACATAATCTGTTGTTTTCCTTCTGGAAGGGAAAGAAAGCAAAACATGCTTACAACTCAAGGAGTAAATTTTCTGTTCTGCCTTTGTGATGAGTTTTATCTCTTCTGAATCTAATACAAGAAGAGCTTCTTTGCTTACTAGACATTACTTCTGATACAGAAGGTCATTTTAATGTGGTTTTCTTCTGTCCCTTTTAGGCTCTATGAACAGGATGTTGTGTCACAGGGCAATCCAAATAGAAGAGTGCTGGTTTGCATCATTAGCACTAATTGCTACAGCATGGGTGTTAAGCATATGATTTAAGTGCTGTTTACGGAGATGCAGCTAACACTGCCTTGAAATATCTCAAGTTACAGAGTATACCAATTTTCCTAACCATTGTTAATCTTGCAAGAGGTTGATTCCTTTTTTACCCCTGAAGAGAAGTGATCCCTCTGCCTGTCAGTGGTCATCCCCAGGAGTGCTTGGTGTACCTTTCTGGAAGTTATCTCAATGTTTGCATCTAGCTGTTTTAAGTGCTTTGACTTTTGTTTGACAGACCATGAGTTGGATTTAAGTTAAACCATACTGTGTGAATTGGAGCAACACCAGGTTTTAAGAACAATTGAAAGAGCTTTGGGGAAGATTCTAAAAGATATAGTCTAGTGATGTTGGTTTTTACAATCTCAGTTGGCCTTTACAGTGCCAAAGATTGTCCATATGTTAATCACCACAAGCATAAAAATAATGGATTGAATCCTAAATGAGAAGAAAACAGTTCACCTCTAGAGGAGGATGAGCCTGATTATTCTACCCACCACACTTCTCATGTTTAATGACGAGGCTTCAGATTCCTGCTCCAAGGTAGTATCACTGGTCAAAAAGAGGGGAATCAATGGATGAGGTACTGTGGACTGGCTTTCCACACGTGATTAAGTGAATTGCATCTCCTCCGTGGAAATAGGTCATCTGCGTAGTTGTGGTAGATGAAGAATACCTAAGATTGTCCTTTTGTTTAGGGGGTGAGTTGGTGTCGATATATCAAGGTCCAGAAGCCTATTATACTGGATACTGGAAATTTGAAAATTGGGAGAAGCTAATGTAGAAGA